AAAAGCATCTCAATTGGAAATAAGTTCAGACTGCTTTCTTTGAGCCAGTCAGAGTTTGACTTGGATGTATTCTGGATCATTATCCTCAAATATGCTTTAGCATTGGACATTGTTCCACCAATTACAGCAAGTCATCCAAGCCCTGAAGCAGCCCTGCACCATCACTTTACCATTACCATGTTTGACTATTGGTACGATTCTTTTCATGAATTCTGTTAATCTTACAACAGATGTAACTAGACTCAGACCTTCCAGAAAGTTCCATTTTTGTCTTGTCAGTCTACAGAAAACATTTTCCCAAAAGTCATAAATATGTTTAAAGGACAAAGTGAGATGAGCCTGTGGTGTTGTTGTTGTTTTTGGTCAGCAGTGGTTGTCGCCTCAGAACTCTCCCTGGATGCCATTTTTGTTCATTCACTTTCCTATTGTTGAAACATGAACACTGAACTTAACTAAGTAAGGCCTGCAGGTCTTTAGATACTGTTCTGGGTTCTTTTGTGATCTCTTTGATGAGTTGTCAGTATGGTCTTGGAGTAATTTTGTTAGGCCAACCAGTTAGAAATGGCTTTGATGTCAATGGTTTCATTAGATCCTGGCGTGTTGTGCTGCTGTTTGAGATCTTTTAGCTTACTTCACTTTCAAATTTTAAATCACTTTCCATTTAAGTGATTTCTTCATTTCTTCATCACATAGGACCAAGTAAGTTTGGATAGTCTTGTTGCAGGTTGAGGAAGGGATTTGGCATTTCATTTATTGTACTGTAATATTTTTGGATTTTGAATCCTTAACTGGTAGGATGTAGAATATTTTGTTTGCATGTCTGAGGGCATATTTGTGCATTGTTTACGTTGTTCATTTACCAAGCTGACAAGCTGAGAGAGGGTCATCCCCACCCGCACCATCACCTTATCCTCCCAGTAACGAGCCGGTCTCACTTTCATGTTGTAGTTTTCAAATAGCTTCTGATGAAGCCTTCTCTCTGTTTCAGAGGCTCCTGCATGAAGGCATGAATGCAGACACACAGTATAATGAAGAGAAAATGATAAAAAAGGAACAGCAGTGATATTAAGAACAAAAACGCAACAAAGAAAAAGGAAGGATGAAAATCTGGTGAAGGGAAGAAGTGATGAAAGTAAAATAAGAGAGACAACGAGGCCTTAGAGATCATATAAAACAAGTAGATCTTTCAATGTGAAATTTTGCATTTTATACATGAAATCACAAAAAAAGAAATGACACTGGAGTCACAAATAAAAATTCTGCAGTGGCATAGATGGCAATTATCTCACCAATGCCCTTAAAGAGTCCGTCATCAGGCCTGTTGTTTCATATTTAACTATGTAACTGTATTAACTGTGCAGGTTACTACAGTTACATAGTTGTAGAAAATTAGAAATGCCTCATCCATGTTTTTGCGTCTTCCAGGTTTGTGTTTTACTCTAGTATTAGCAAGCAGAAGATGCAGAAATCTGAGCTCTTTACTTTACATTAGAAGAAGATGACCGGACTTTTTCATCTACGTTTTAAAGTTATCATTCTGTTCTGTCACATAACTACAGTGATAGATGCTCATATCAAACCTGGACAAGTCTCAAATAATGATGTCAGTGTGTGTTTAAGTGATCTCTGTGAGCCAGCAGCTTTGTCTCTCGTCCACTAGTTTCAACTGTGAATCTTACAAAACAGCAGAGCTGGGAGTTAGTATAATGTCTATAAATGCATGTAAATGTTGTATAGCCTATTTTATTACAAATGAAAGTAAAACATTGACCTTAGATCTATTACCACTTAAACGTTTTCCTTTTGTTAGATTGTCAGTCACTTGCATACTTTTGGTATGTTCAAAGGTGCTATAGAAGTAAAGTTTAATTGACTAAAAAAAGGCTTGAACAAGTCTTAGTGTATGTGAGTGAGATAAAGTTAAACACAAGCAAGTCACATGTTGATTTGTGGATTTGAGTCACCGACACCAAACCACAGCATGTTTGCTCTTCAGAATCACTGAGTCAGGCCTGCAGTGGTTTGAGGTTCAGTTCCCACTGAGATTAGCTACGCTAAAAATATCATCTAATCTATATTGTGGACAGACCACTGCTCTGTTATGTTGTTCATACTCAAACACGTATCAGCAGGCTACTTATTATTATTAGTTAGAATTTACAATTATTCTGAATATGAATACTGCATTTGTGAGATATGGTCAATTTACATGAGCAAATTTTTTTTTAATTTTTTTTATTTATTTAATTTTAGAAAGAGGGGCAATACATATTAATGAACATTTTAACAAATGTAAATATGCCAGATTATAGCCTTGGGCTAATTTCCATCTGCAGACCCTCTGGCTGGTTGGTGTTAAACACAAGTTAGTAAAAACATACAGAGACACTATTTACAGGTCATGTGACAAGGACAAAAACAGTGATCACATTATACTAGAACAAACAATGACAAGGAGAGTGGACAAAAAAGAAAAATATAGATAACAATAACGGAAACACATCAATTATATTGCACAAACCCCAGTATTGTACATGCCCTGACCGTCGTGATATTGCGTTCACCCATTGCACTAACAGTTGTTTTCCTTTTTGTAATACACTAACTCTTTTTCCCATCCAATATAAAGCATGATTATTAAACATGATTACATGTTTGTGTGTCCCTCAGCCGCCCTTTTAAGTGACTCTTAAAGATGGGTAGACTTGTACTTTCCCTCACTGACAGTGGAAGACTATTCCAGAAGCTCACTCCCTGATATGACAGAGCATTCTGTGAAAAGGTGGTCCGTCTGAATGCCAGTTCACAATCACCTCTAACAGTGGCTCGAGTCAGTCGAGACCCGGCAACACTGCTAGACTTTTGTTTAATAAAATCACTCATTGGTGGAGGCGCCAGGCCATGTATAACTTTGTATATTAGACAGGCAGATGTAAATAATTTGAAATTAGTAAAATTTAAAAACGTGTATTTTTCTAAAATTTGATAATGGTGATATGAAAAAGGTTTTTTATCTAAAAAACCTTTTTCATATCACAAATAAAAGTGATAGATCTAAAGTTTATGATTATAAAGGGTCAAAAGACATAACGGCAGTGTGAGATAAGACAGGATAGGCCCCAAAACACTTTATTGCTTTATTACAGAATACAAACTTAAACTGGGAATATGCTAGGAGTCAAACTAACACACAGGCAGAACACACAGCCAGGGAATGATGGAGAGCACGACAAAACACACAAGGAAATGCAGACGGGATAAACACAGGGAATCAAGGCAGAGTGGAAACACCTGGGAAACACAGCTGGATAATAATCTAACAGGCGAGTGAAGCAAACTATGAACCATCAGTTTTACTTCATGAGGATGAAGCACACTGTCAAAATAAAACAGGAAGCATGAGAAACACACACTGAGATTCAGACTGACTAACTACAGGGAACTGGGGAACGAGGGAGCAAGACAAGACATGGGGACACAGAGTGACGGCAAGAGAACGAGGGACAGAACTGAACATACATAACAATGAAGCGCCTTGAGGCGACTTTTGTTGTGATTTGGCGCTATATAAATAAAATTGAATTGAATTGAATTGAATAACAAGACATGATAGACTGCACAGGTAGGCAGCACAAACGCTGGGTCAGAGACCCAGGACCAGGACAATCATATTTTTAACTATGGTTGTTAGGAAATCCATCCTTCTACTTGTGTTGTTCTTTTCAATAATGTGTAGGACAGAACAGCTATGGCACAGCTTAAAACTAACTAAAAGAAATACATTGATTTGTTCAAACATTTCAATGCCGTCACGGATCTCCAGGTAAAGTTTGCAGAAAGTGTCTAAAACTGTCAACGCAAATCTAAGCTGAAGATGTAGGATCTGGATTTGTATATGCATGTCATGATGTGTACTTGTATACTTGTGCCCAGGCACCTAAATTAGTAATGAAATCTATAATGTCATTATACAAACACATTACACAAGTTTTACAAATACTGTATACTCATGAACCGAGGCAAAAATTTGTAATCAACTTAATTTATTTACTGTTTTATTGTTATACTGTATCCAACATCTGTTGAAAAGAAAGGATATTTGAAAACTGGGAATCAGCCTATGCTGAAGCTCAAACTAAGACATGAATGCATGTCTCAGATTAACACACATAAAAGAGATTTCGCTCAACCCAAAGCTGTTTTGTTCTTAGTTTGTGTCCATGAGGAGACAATTATGATAAAAATGAAGAAATATTAATCAACATCAGTTTCTTAAATGCCAAAAGAATTGTTCTGAGGGAAAAAACAAACCAAACCAAAATAAGCACAGATAAAGCCATGATAAACTTTCCACTAGAAAGGAGAAGATATGTAAAAAATAAAGTTTTCATAGGACTCTGAATACCCTGAGAGCTTTTAGTTAAGACCACTTTTTAAAAAGTTATGAGAAGGTTTGGTTCTTGAAAGCAAAAATATAAAGAAATTAGGGGCGGCTCAAAACGTCTGCACAGTACTGTAAATTAACTGCATCAGTTGAATTGTACTTAGATATTATTATTATTATTGTCATTTAATCTCTGTCAAGTTATAATATTTTAAAAAGACAATGTCTTAGAAGTCATGTATGACAGAAAGCTCAGCATTAGGGACTCCTTCTTTCCGAATATGCGATTAAACAGCATGTGGCAAAGACAGAGGACAGACGGGACACGCAGGAGAGGCAGGGCAGGTGCTGGTGGTGTACGATGGGTAGCAAAGGTGACTGAGCTAATGTAATTGATATGCAGTAAGGGAGTAGGATCAAAGGGATGACTGAGATACCAGCTCCATCGGGGACAAAATTAGATTCTGATTAACGAACAATGATGTGTTAATGTGATTCATTATGTGTTCCAGAGGAGAAGAAGGAGGCCGCTCTTGTTTACAAGTGGACAACATCTGTGGAAGGACATAAAATACAGGCTTTGTTCCCCTGGGACTGCAGTTTTATCGCTGGTGAAACATACCTGTAAATTCTCACTGACTGTATGACAAAAGGTCAAGAAATGGCCACAATCATCACCTGTGCAGCTTTTTTTTGTCATTCATTTATTTCTTTTGCTTTTCACTCACATTATGGTGTCAGGAGGTCAAGGTTATTGTAGGGTCTTTACCTTACTATAGGAAGCGCCTTGAGGGAACTGCTGCTGTGAATTGGCACTATATAAATGAAACTGACCTTGAACTGAACCTGCTTAAATCAATTTTAATCATGATTTTAACACGTAGCCTTTCCCACTCAAAAAAGGGGGAATTAAAAAAAGAACATCAAGAAAAAAAACAGGAGATGGAATCAATAGCAATTTAACTGGAGTGACAGGGTGAAGTTGTGGATGTGAGATAGTTGTGTGTTATCTGATCTGACTGGAGCTGTCTGATTCAAATTATGCCTCGATTCCTCCACATGAAAACAGACTCCCTTCGATCCCACCAGGAAATAGGTAGCAGTTAGGTCACATAGACAAATAGGAACACTGCAACGCAGGTCACCAGCAACCATGGCTGTTTGTTTTTAGTTGAAGTTAAAAGTTAAAGCCATTTTTTTACGTTGTTCCTTCGTTTTTTTAGTATAATGAACATTTCACTATGTAGGTTTTGATTTAGATGGAAGAGAAACATCATGTCTCTCTTCTGAAAATACTTATTAGTAATCATGCTGCTATTAGTTCCAGGGATGCTCATTAGCCAGATTTATGTGGCCAGATTATGCGACATTTAATCAGCTTAGCATGATTCATCTTAAAATCTATTTTTAAACGTCCTCAAACCATGAAAACTAATGGCACACACTGGCATTCCAAAAAACGTCCTTACCAGTGAAAGTAAGGCAAAAGCAGCCACACACGAAGAGAAAGGTATTCATCCTCATGCTAGTGCTCAGGTACATCTTCATTTGTCCAATAATGGCAATCATGTCATCTTCTGGACTCTTTGTTAGCCAACCAAAGGCTCTTCTAGCGGCCACAGCCAGTCACGTCCCACCTTCACCTGGATACAAGATGAATGGTCACCCCCTAAAAGCTCAGGAAAATCAGTGCGCTGCTCCAGCTGGGTTACAGCTAGTTAACACCCCGAACGGCACGCGCTCTTCAGCTAACGACCCTGTCTCCTGTCCTTTCGTCTCTTTTGTGGCCATGACTCTCTGGGTGAAACCATGACCTGATTGGATGGATGTGCTGGGGGGGGGGTGCGCTTGTACTGGGAACTCTGAGGGGCAGGCACCTGTTGGTGCTCACCAATCTGAGGTTAGCACTGCAGGGATTGTGTGTGGGAGTAAGAGGAAGTGGAGGGGGTGGTATGGCTATGTGCTGTGGGTTATGACAATGGAGATATTTTTGGGAAGTTGATTGGGGGGTTGTCGGTAGGCGAAGGATGATTGGTGGTGCTGTAAAGCTGACGCGGGTCGTGCTGTAGGTGGCTTTTCTGGCTCTCTTAACTTTTAATGCCTGCTTGATCCCTTCAGCTATTCGTCTTCCCTGGTAAATCAAACCTTCTCTACCTCCTTCAAGGCTTTAAATATTCATTTTCAGCCTCCCTCCTTGGGGATTGTTGCAGTCATACCCATTGCACTGTGTTGTGTGTGGTATCATCTGGCCATTATATCCCTGAGTTAAATTGGTTTTCAAATATTAAGCAGTTTTACTGAAAAGGTTGACAATAAAAAAAATATTAAGCTCAGTTTTACAGGAATAGCTTGTCATCAAAGTTTTATTTTATGTCCTTTAAACAGGTGTGCAAAAGTATCCTGCGGGGAAAAATCCAGTGATTTAAAGTCACTATGTGTGGAATTTTGACTTCCCAGCTGCTGCCCCCTAGTGGTCTGACACCAATAAGAGCAGTTTATATCCACCAAGACTCAAAACTTCATCCATATCATGCAGGAACTGAGCCCCAGGATCCAGAAGGATCCTGATCATTTTGTCAGTGTTTTTAATTTCAGCTTAATATTGTGTCTGTGTCCTTGCATTGATATAGAATCCTTCCAAGCCCATCTTTTACGCAGATCCACCATTTCTTGAGTAATCCTGAATATAAAGAGAGACAGCGACGAACCACCACAAACACTGAATTTATTGTCTGATTTTTCTACAAATCAAAAGTAGCAAAATCGATTATGCAATTTAAAAATAAAAAATGATTTTAAACCAAAACAATATTTCAAGACCGTGCCTGTCAAAGACGATTGTTATTTCCATGTGCATCAACTTTTTTTGCGTGACATGGCGTACAAACCCATCACATTTAGAAAGGTCATCTCCACACAGAAGGAAGGAAGTGGCACAGAGATACAGACAAAAGCAGGCATTCACAGATTTGACACTGATTAAGTCAGCTACAACATGAAGAGGAAGAGCAGGAATGGAGGGGGGTTGCAAAGCAGCTTGCAGTGGCACAGCAACCATAGACAGGCTAAAGTTGAATCCCTACAATATATGAGATTTGCAAAGTTGGGTGCGCAGAACAGCATCAGCTGATCTGCAGGAATTGTAGACTGGATTTGACTTTGTGACCTCCATCAGTTAATGCTATGCTTATTTATGTTCATTGAAATAGTGAAATCTAATTTTTTACTGTTTAAAACAATGTTGATGTTCTGGTAAAAGAAACCTAAATTGATTAAATTATGAAATAAACTTCTTTTGAGAATCCTTCTAAACAGCACAAGTGATGGGGTTCGTCTGTTCTTTAGCTACAAATTCCCATAAAAACGATGGCTTTAGTCACACTGTGATTTAAGGAGCTGAAAATGAAAAGCTCTGCTTCACAGATACTGTGGCGTGATGAAATCTAGAATTACCAAACTTCTTGGCAGGAGCAGGGAGGTGATGCCAACACTGATGGAGAGGTCTTAGTAAAAAGCACCTCAGCATTGCTGATTCTGAGTTTGATGTGAGCTCGAGGCAAGAAAAGATGTGGATGAAAATATAAAAATGGAGATGGATGTTTTTTTGCCATAGAGGGCTGTGAGAACTACAAGCGTAATGATCGATGAAGCAAAGGCCCCCGAGTGAACTCCGGATTCTGCTCTATCTCTGATCCTTCGTGTTGCTTTTTATGAAGCTGATGTCTATATTTCAAGCCTCATAAAGTTCATCTTTCCTCCATCCCCTACTCTCCGCCTCTGCCTTTAAATTTCTCTCCTCTCGGTTGGGTCATTCCATCCTCTCTCCCTCATGCTGGTGAGCCTTTCCAGTGTGAAAACATAAAACTATAAATCAACATCAGATTGAGACTTAAGTGAGGGGAAAAATGCCTCTGACTTGACCTCCTGTGAGCTGCCATTCTCAGCGTGAATACATCATTCAGAATGACCTCTGTGTTTGTTTTTGTGCAGCCTGGCTTCTCAAAGCTACTCTTTCATAGAAGGTTACGTGTTAGACGGGAAAGGGAACAAGTGCAATTCAACCACTAGTGTAGCGATAACATCACATAAGGTGGTCTATAATACTGAGGGGCTATCAGTGCTGTCGCCAAGGTGGGCTGCCGTGGACTGGCAGAATTTCAGCCCCCAAATACTTGCTCTAATAGATCTCAGTGAGAGAGTGTATTTACACAGAGAAATAACAGGGAAGCCCATGCAGTAGTGTCCGGTGACCAGTGCCAACATGTGGGGATATTAATAGCAGGGTGGGCAGGTGATAGCATTCTGAGAACAGATGGAGCCTTTGATATTCTCCCCTCAGATCTCTATTTAAAAGCCAAAAGCAAAATGAAAGCACAAGACCAAGAGGACAGGTGTGGTAAAAGGGACATGCAGCATGCGTGTGTCCAGATAAAACGAGGCACCGAGAGGCACGGGTCTTCTCTATTATTGGGAATTCCATTGGCTGTTCATGCAGCAGATGAATGGGGTTGGTGTGCTGCTCCGTTACATACACCAATGCCTGAAATGCAGAGGATTACTGTGTCTGCAGAAATATACCGCAAAGCATGTGCCACTCTCCAGCACATTCTGACATAGGCTTGCAGCACGCTCATTATAGGGCCTGGTTTGTCTTGGTGTTTATGTGTTAACACCACATATGAACACCCAGTCCTGGAGCCACATTTCAAACCCTACTACAGCTAATAACAAAATAAAAAAACGCTGGTAGTTTATATTGTAGCATTTATACGCATGTAAGGTATGCTAACATGGGCTTAGTAGTTACAATTCATGCAATTTCATCAATGCATTTATTATTTTTTGTTATTTTAATTATTTTAAAATTTTAACATACAAACTGTCACTGGCAACACACCTGGAATTAGGAGAAGGGTTTGGGCTAGATTAATCTTCTGAGGTAAACCTACCCTGACTAAATATTTTGGAGACTTGTGAAATGTAAGTAGTTTTTCATGTGATGTACATCAGAATTGTTATTTTCTTTGTTTTCTTTTACAAATTCTGGTTGAGTCACGTTTAAAGTCAGCATCGATGAAAATTATCGCCCCTTTATAGTCGCGTCTTTGAGTCTGCTAAAGCCCAAATTAACTAAATTTCACCATAGGATGATGGGTGTGTCCATGTCTGCAGCAGAGTGTAACCCTGTTAACTTTCTGGTATCCAAGTCCTTACAGTGGAAACCTAACCATTTATTTTGGTTGAAGCCAAAACTGTTTGGGTTTTTTTTTCGACTGCTTTTGATTTCTGTGTGTCAGATTATTGTCTTACTAATGAGAAAACTTGGAAAGCAATTATATAAACACAAAAATTGCATATTGTAATTGCCTTGATTGAATGGAGCTAGGGTTGGGGTTATCTAGACCATAGACCTTATTTAGTCCTAACTTATAACCCTAATCGTAGGCTTGCAAAGTAGGCTATATGAA